GGTTTAGGGTTTAGGGTTTCTCTACAGGGAAAAGGTAGTTGTAGCTAATGTTTTACTTAGAGTTTGAGTCAAACATGGGAAAGGGAACAACATATCTCTATGATTTAGGGAGTAGGCCTAGGGGCTTTTCAATGAAATGGAATGATAGAGAATCAAGTGGAACATCACAGGGAACTGGGAGTAAATACGGTACCGGTGAGACAGTACTGTAACTGGGGATACTCTTGCCCATAAAACAGATCGAGCAAAGTCGTCTTCGTGTTTTGGTACGGACTTCATTAGAAGAATATCGTCTAACTTGGTCCAACCAAAACGAGAACACTTCGCAAGATCGCGGGCTTTGAGGACTCAAGGCCGTGATGCTTCACTGTGTGGGCTCCAGAACTCTTAGCAGTTAGTGGATTGGGGTTGGGTTAAGGGTATTTAGGGTCCAGACGTTTAGGGGTTTCCATCACATGGAGCACTCCTGGACCCCAGCAGTTTTATTGTACACCTATACTTAAGTGATTCCTCTTGTCCCTTCCCCCACGCCAGCTCTCTGGATGTAAGGCTCCTGGCGCCTGGAAAGCAAAGAACATTTGTTTCTGTGGTACTCGAAATCTCAAGGGCACTATGAAATTCCGATTTGGAGTAGGAACCCCGCCACAAAGCCCCAGACTCTGAGAGCGTGCAACTCTGGGCGTCGTTGCGGCGTGGTGACTTTGCCCAGGCTATGCCACGCAAAGTGCCTGGCGAGGGCCTGACTGAAGAGAGGCGCTCTTCACAAAGTAAGAAAGACTGAACGGCGCTTATCGGTGAGTGGGGAAGCAGGTACAGGTATTATATAAGGGGTTCTTCTATAGAGATGATGATGGCGATGCACTCAACGACTCCTCCTTGAACATCCGTAAGTTGACTTGCATATGGTGTGTTAGCATGAAGATGTTTCAGGCATGCTGGGTATCATTTGAGACACGGCCATGTGTGTCCTCAGAGCAGCATCATGTCAAGATTCTTTTCTTGATTGTGTTGCCGGTAGTTTGTGTAGAATCCGCAGCAATACAGCAGTAGTTTCCATTCTCTTTTCAATCCTTTCATTGGCTAACAACCACCAGCGTGTTGTCTTCTGAAGGTTACGAGCAGCAGCTGTGCTACTTGCTCGGCACGAAAGTGATCTAGGCCGGAGCACGGGGCGTGACGTAGAAAGAACATTTGAAGTTCACAGCAGCCATTCCACACTATTGTAGGTTCTATGTTTATTGTTGATGAGCACCGGAGAAGACAATGGAAACTAAGAGACCTATGCAGTCTAATGCCATACCTGGTTGAGCAGGTTTTGTTGAAGGCGGGTGCTCTCATGTGCTCGCAGCTTGGCTCCAGTCGCATCACTGCCTGCATCGTTGCTGAAATGGCTTTCCCAGGGCATGTTTTGGCAGCTCCTGCAGGGTCGGCCGTGGTGCATCATGGCGAGGTGCTGAGAGATCCCTTCCGTTCCTGGTCATCTTGCAGCGCAGTGGTGCCGAGACCCATGATGGCTGTGGCGTCGATTGGCGCCTGCCTTGCCTTGCAGCATCACAGCTCTCGCAGAGTCCGAGGGACGCACGTTGTTTTGCGAAGAGCCTCGCAGGTGGAAGCTGTGCGACTGGTCAGCGTGAAGGAAGGGCAGCTTGTTGTAGATCAGACAAATCTTGCTTTGCTCATGGAGTCTTTGCGCGCATCGTCATGCGAGCGCGTAGCCGTCGTTTCGATAGCAGGTGCCCTGAGACAGGGCAAGTCCTTCTTCCTCGACCTGTTTGCAAGATACCTGGAGTCCTCTGAAGACATGTTATCTGGGTCTTTACAGGACAGTCAGCGATTCTGCTGGAAATCAGGTATGGAGCGCGTCACAGATGGAGTGTGGGCGTGCCCGCAAGTCTTTGAGGGACCAGGCTCTGCGAAGACAAGGGTTGGAATTCTGCTGCTGGACACACAAGGCCTGCGTATGGAAACACCCTATAGGCGTATCTAGAGATTATTGTTTTGAGTTCAGATACATTCCCCCAATCATGGAGAATCAAGCGGGAAAGAACATTGGACATGAAGTAGATTTTGGGCTCACAACGTGGTTTGTAGAGGCCGTAGGTAAGAAAACGCTCAAGTCATAACCAGGTTGAAGCCTAAATCCCCCTAGAGTTACTGTTGTTAAAAGCAGTCGTGCTTCGTGTTATTCCTACCTAGCACAAGGCACCTACGAACCTGGAGCCTCCCGATGGCAGAACAACTCACTGCTTGGTCTGGCCGGCTCACTGTCGTCTATACTCCTCTTCAACGTCTCGAAACAGCTGCAACAAGACACTGTTCAAGATCTGCAGGTGGCAATGGACCTCTTGAAAATGAGTTGCCGCCACCATGGGCGTCCACGTCCTCCTTCGGACTCCAAAACCTTGACTTTTCTGGTGCGGGATTGGGCTCATGGGCAACAGCTGAATGAAGGCCAGAACCAGAGCCCCAAAGAGCTCCCGATGACAAGCCAGGAGCAAAGCATCCTCGAGAGCTTCATCCACTCAACCACCGAAGGGCAGGGTTTGGGGCAATTCTTCGAATCGCTGGAGTGCCGCACCTTACCTCATCCAGGACATATAGACAGGCCTTCCTGGACAGGCGATGCGAAAGAAATCTCTGACGACTTCCTCGTCGGCTGCCGGGGGCTCTTCTGCACCCTTGCCACCATGGCTAGCGCACAAACCGGCGCTGCAGTTACGGTTCAAGACTTTGAGCAAACCTTGCAGGAGTACATTGCTGTCTTGAACTCTGCGAGAGATCTGACCGAGTCTGGCACCAGCCACAGGACCTCAGACCCCAGCAGTGCTCAAGTGTGTTTCCCCAATTTCTTGATATTGGTCTCTGATGGTGGCATGTTGGGAAACCCTACAGGCAGGCGCTGTCGGATGTTAGCTTGCTCAGCGCCTTCGACCGCTCGCGCGCCTGCTACCGGGCCAGCCTGTATCGGGCCGGGGCTTTGACCTGGACGCTGGACCTTTGCAAATCATGCAGGTTACTGCATAATTTAGTAGCCCATATTATTTCCAATCTACACGTAGAAGAAGATGGACATGTCTGGACTATATGCAGTAGTGGGAATGTTTGTCCAACTCCTTTCGATATTCAGACCAATTTTTGGCATGGTTTCATGAACGCTAAGGAAGGCACGACTTCCGGAGATCTTGAGCGGTGAGGTGGCAGGTGCCAAAGCGCTGGTTGCAGAGGAGCTTTAAGCGTTTGGGGTTGAGGATTGTCATTGTTCTGAATGATGACTGAACTTTTTACCCTGAACCTAAAACCTAGACCAGCCCTATAGATCTTATCATTCTTAAGGAAGGACCACGTAGTAGCCCGAACCCTCAATTGTAGGACTTATGACTATCATCTGACTTGTGCTGTGTTGCTGTTGAGGGGTTGGGGCTATTGAACATTTAGTCCAAAGTCTTGTGGCCTACCTAGACCTACCGGATACCCTTGATAATGGTTTTGAACACCGAAATAATGGGCATATCGGCTCTCATTCCGATATTTGGGACTTTTAGTCAGCTACACTTTGCAGCCACCATGCCAGTCTCACTTTTCTGGAAGGAGCTGGTCGCTGCACACCGCAAGGCCATGGAGGAAGCGGCTCAGGAGCTGCGGAGGAGCGCGCTCTTCGGAGATGCTTGGGCTTGATCCGAAAGAACCGTAAAGTCTAAAACCTGTCTCAAAATGGGGGTTACCCAGAATTTGGGGTACCTTTTGGGGATCCTTACAATAAGGACTAGAGTATCATGGGGTCTATACTGGGGTACCTTAATTTGGGGAAACTACCAAATCAGGAACCCCAAAGAGCTCAGGGCTCTGGGGATGGATCAGCGGTCATTTGTATTGGGGACAATTTCGCAAATGGAGTCACCTCCGACTACGCCAACGTCACGCAGTCCTTGTCATGGGAGAACCCAACAGGGCGCTCATAAGGAGGAAAAACACGGGCACTGGGAGTACGGCCCGCGACAAACGACAATTGAATTCACTGGGGCAAGTATATAGGGCACAGCAAAAAGGTTTTCAAAGTTTGGTCGCACGCGCTTGTCTGATCAAACCTTTATGGTAGTTGCTGCAAGAGCAGTAGAGTGTTTGTTTAGTTGCCAAGCTGTTCTCATTTGGTTCAGACTGTGGTTGCAAATCCTAAGGCACTGTAATGTTGCGCAGACCACTGTACAGGCGTGAGTGTGTGCCTTTGGCCAGCTCACATATGCCTTTGGCTGCGTAAGGGGAGACCGATCTGCTTGCGAGAGAGGTGAATGGCTTTGTTGACTATTCTTATGGGTCATGGTCCATTGTTTCACCTGCTTCCCAGGTCCAGATAATGGCACGAAACCATGGACCCTAGTCCTTAGGGTTTTAGGTAGCAGAAACGGTTCGTATGATTCTGTTTGTGATCTCGAGCTCTGTTTCTTTGGGCACTTAGACACTTCGGGTAGCCTAGGACGAGCAGACGGTGGAGGAGAAGGTGCGAGAGTTGCAGGAGCCATCCGGGGATGTCCGCAATTTGGGTCCCTCACGGGGGGTCCCCATGATAAGGTTTAGAGTCTTTTGGGTCTATAGTGGGTTCCCCCCGTTATTTAGGGAAACTACCATCTGTAGTTTTTCGCGGGAGTTGCTTGACCTTACAGGTCAGTTTTGTTGCATCTATGGTGATGATCCTAGCGCTTGGGGATTGTAAAGGGGTGGCCTTGGCTGAAAGAATCACTCATCTAAGACACTAGAATTTGTTGGCCCTGTAGCAAACCTACTCGTAGTCAACAAAGGTTTTCATGTGGTCGCGGGGGTGCTAGTAGTGGGGACCATGGTATTTGTATTTCAACAGCAAGAAATATCGACTTCGAGTAAACATACGAGCATGGACAATAACGATATCCATATCTATCCCTATCAGCACGATACTCGAATACTCGTCATCTTCGTCGATGTCGGGATGGGTGGGGGTGGTGATGCTGACGGCGGAGGCAGTGGTGGTGTCGGTTGCTGTGCCAGTGGGAGTGGCGCTGTGGTGGCGGTGGAGCTGGCGGTGGCGCGCGGCAGTGGTGCCATTGTCGGTAATAGGTGGGCAAGGTCCTGCTGGATGTACCCTGTCGACAGGAGGAGCTGGAACGGGAGCTGCCTCGCATCGAAGAGGAAAACCATCAGTGGAATCAACGGCGGCTGAATGGCTTGGCCGACATGACGCTTGCGGCTGTTGCAGTTCCCTGACATCATCCCATTCCCGGATTTTGATGAGGGAGAAAACACCATAATAAGGATTATGGTATTTGGGCACCCTAAACCCTAAACCCTAGATTATTGTCCCTTGATTTTGGGAAGCTACCAATTCACCAAGGTTTCGAGCTTAGTTCCCCCAGCAGGACCTGCAATTGCTGCTGCCATGGTTCCCGCCTATGGGCTACCTGGCCATCCCAACGGGAATCTCCTAGGATTTAGGGTCTGGAGTTTTGGGTTACAATGTGCCCACCCAAGAAATACAATTTGTGTGATTTGGGGAGGAGATTTATCAGAGTATACGGGGTGAGGAGGAGGAAGAATAGGCATGATCATGACTGTGTAGTGGTGTCTGCGGACCAAATACGTCGGCAGCTTCTTTAGGTAATCATAGTATTTGTCATTTGTTCCTCACCGTAATGTTCGGAATGCGAGGAAGAGCAATGATACGTCTTGCCATAATCAATCCTCCTTACAACTAAACAAACCATGCAAGGAATCTGTACACAATGGGTTACTGCGGTGTAACCATATGCCGGCTCTCGGCGAAAGGTATCCTCCACGTGAAGTCAACAAAGATGGTTCATATAGGGTAGGTGGTGTTGTCGTCGAGGAGGGAAGATCTTGGCTGAAAGAGTCTTCCTCAGCTCAGAGTTTCACAGCTTTTGTACCAAGTACGCAATGCCAAAGTTGCAGTTTGTCAGGGGTTCCTTGCAATGAACACCCATAGTCTGCTCTGTGCTTGTATAGCAGCCAAGCAGTTAGCACGCCCCCCGTGCCTCTACCATCCCTACATCGGCAGTACCTTAAACATCTTGCCATTACCCCATAGTCCCCAATGAGAATTTAGGGTTTAGGGACCCTAAACCCTAAACCCTAAACCCAATCCCCATTGTCCCCGATGAGAGGCTTCAACTTTGGCGTTTCAAGCGTGCTGGTGGTGAGCCTCGTCCAGCTACCACAGTGACTGAGAAGGAGCTCACCCAGAGCTACCCCTTCTCCTTCTGCTGGGTGCTGTTAGGGAACTTGAATTAACTTACTGTAATATGGGAATAGAGTAAATAATGGGGTTTCCATATTAAAGTAATGTAGTTTAAGCTCCTTAGCAGTAACCCAGTCTCTCTACTAGTGCACCAGCATTATTCTACATCTCAAGGCGGTTCTCAGACCCCTGCGTGATCATTGCAAGTGTAGTAGCTTTGAAGCCTTGAAGCAGCAAAGGACTACATAGCCAACTCTGAAACTCGGGCTGAAGAAATGCAGCTCTTTGCCTTTGAGTTTTTTTGCTGTAATGAGACCTTCCGATTGCCTGTCAAGCCAAGATTGAGCTACACAAAGCCATGCTTCGGACCGAGCGCAGGTGGGCAAAGGACTGGCGGCTGTCGCGATGTAGACCATATTTTGATACGTTTTTTGGCGAGGTTGACAAAAATCATATTGGGCGGAAGCAAGCATGAATTGCGCAAACCTGCAGGACTTGAGGTTGTGGTTCGCTAAACGAACCTCCAAGCCGCGGACTGCGCGTGTGGTGGATTGAGGACTCGACAGCCTAAGAGAATGAATGGTGGAAGAGGTTGATGTCCATGCTTTGCGAGAGGTGTCGGAGACGTGGATGCAAAAAAGTCATCCCTTTCTATGGCTTGCAACGGAGACAAAACTCTAGGTTTGGCATTTGCCAACATCACGAATGCCGCTTCCCACATATCTGCCTGGTCACCATAATGCTTTCATCGCTTGGACAAGTTCTGATTCTGCCGAGCAATGCTAGATGCACGCGTGCCTGTCTTCCACGAAGCAGCGCCGATGCCGGAACAGTGGCGGTGGAAATCCAAAGTAGAACCCAACTATGGTACTCATCTTGTTTTGAAGCTCACGTCTTGCCATAAAGACCTGCCAGCCAAGGCCACCTTGCCGCTTGGCGCGTGAATGTGGCCATAGGGATCATCCTCGTTCCCTGCTCTTCCGGACGGCGCACTTGGCAGACTTCTAGAAGGACTTCTACATGCGTCATGGTGTGCAGACCAACAAGACGGACCCAGACGTTTTGAGGTTGACTACCTCTGTAGACGCAGCCACTTATTACTCTTGCAAGTGCTGTCTGAGCGTGACCTACTCTCAGTGCATTCGCAAGATGTTTGAATTCCAGCAGTCCCGCGGTGTGCCTAATTGTCGGAAGCCCGCAACCCAAGTCAGCTGTCCAGAAATGCTCATTCGACACCTGGACACCCACTTGAGTCCCCTAGGCCCTAGCTTTTTGCTTTGGACGGATCCAACCCCACGAGTTTTTTCTGGCCATACTTCTGACATGCAGCCTGATGTTTGCCTTCAATCATGCGCGTTTTGAACTGTGGGTGCAGTAACATGCTTCAAGGGCTTCAGGCTCGTAGACAACGAAGGATGTGCACTGTTGTGGGCACTGCAGTCGTTAGTTCATGAGTCCCAGCAAGCTAAATCCTGTCGGGAGGAGTGCTCGCAGCCGCGCTACCCTTTGGTGTAGCTTTTGGACGCCAGAGTGACGGGCCAGGTTCCGGTTGGGCCTTCAAGAGGTGAAGCTTCTTGTGCTTGACCATGTACAAAACCAATATCCTGCCGGAACAGGTCCGCCCCGCCTGAAACTTGTACAGCCGAGGTTGCCAGACGGCTGCGCAACTCTTGGTTCCATCCTCTGCGCACTCCTCCTTTGAATGAAAGCCCTGGCAGCGCTTAATGCAGGGGTACAGTAGGAGGTAGTTCTTGCCGCGTTCCCGCTTCTAACAGAGGGCAAGACTACCAGCGATAGATCAGGGCGGTACCCGTTCCTGCCGCTGCGTGCTCAACAAACAGCGGGATGGTGATGGTGCATGCTCATGATGATGACGACGACGACGATGATGATGATGGGAGTGGGAGTGGCAGGCGTAGCAGTAGGTCATAACGTGGTAGCAGGCACTAGAGGAGTCAGAGTAAACAGACCAGTACTTCTGGAACGCCCGATTTCAAGCCCGGCCAGGAAGCTTCACCAGCAGCAGGCTGCGCAAGGAGCTGGAGGAGAGTCCACAGGGTGTTCACCTTCAAGCATTCTGAGACCCATGTCTATACCCGTGCGCTCTATAATCTGTAGTCCATACTAAACCCCACATATTTCTTAGGTCTTCGGCTTAGGTGATCCTTTCTATGCCCACACTTCTCACATACCGCGCAAGCTTGAGATGTCGACGCTGTTTGCAGGAGCTCCTTGGCCTGCCAGCTGGCGGGTTGCAGGCCCGCAAGAGATTGGTTTAGGGGTTATCCTGGGGTTTATAGGGTTATATAAGGTTTATATANNGAGACTACTATTTTGGGTTTAGGGTACAAGAGCAGGAGGGATATGCTGTGAATAGACTTCAGGGAAATATGAGGGCATCCCTGTGCCATTCTATATGACGGCTTCATACAGCGCACTCCAAAAAAGTGTCAACAAGTGGTACCCTGGGCTTCGTGGGGAAAATTTGCCTTGAAGGTTCAGGGGTGTTGTCATTATTGTCTTCAGGGCTATAAATAGTAAGCCCCACCTCCACTCCCCGAATATTGAATAATCCCGTTGTGGTAGATTATAATATGGGGGGAATATCTACTTCTTTGAAATGTTCAGGCTGGAGGGCCTCCTGCCAATTATGAGGAAGACAAGACTCAAGGGGTTTGATTGATTTTTGGGATAGCTGTTGAGGTGTGGGGTGGTGTAGAAGTGGGAAGCCAGCGTTTCAGCAAATCAAAGACTTTTTCAGCACGGTTGGCAGTCTCTACACGTCAGACCAGGCGACTATCAGGGAGAGCTTTGCGGAAGCACATCGAAGGATCCTGAAAGTCATTCACTCAACCCGCTCCGCGAAGGGCATCAGGTAGGAACTTAATAGTTCCCATGGCTTGAAGGTCCCAGAAGTTTATCTTCTGGAGACATTTACTTTGAACACATGCCCCAATAGCAACTGATCGAGATTCACTCCTAAATGCAGTAAATAGGCTTGTACAGGCACATACATAACTGAGGCTAGCTAGACATGCTCAAGGGGAATACCTTGGGTTTCTACTTTACGTCTGCAAAACAGCTCCCATGCCCATGTCCGCCAGTCCTACGGAAGCTCCCAGTTGATGGGAATCGTCCTTGAAGCTTCTGAGGACGTGCAGGACCTTACAGGGATTTTTATAGGCATTATGTATGGGTTATATCGGGGTTATAGGAATTATATAGGGGTTGT